CCATCTAAATGTCGCTATTTTTCCCATGATGTCGGTTACTTTAGTTCTTCGACGTATTTCGGTGTTAGGAATTTTGTCTCTGCGGCTTATATTTAACATGGGCCTCTCCATGGCCCGTTGAGTTACTCTTAATTGTTCTGCCATTTTTCTTGTTATTGCCATAGTTTCCAATCCATAAGTTGCAACTGGTAGTATACAAGTGTCATAGGTTTTTCGTTTTAAGTGAATTGGAATTTTTCTGTCTTTTAAAATGAAGCTTAACTTACCAAAAGCATCCCATGATAATTGTGTCCTTCTTTTAATTTCTAGGGTTTGATTTTCCTTTTCGTTTTTAATTGCATGTCCTAGATATATATATTGTTCTACCTTTTCTATATTGATGTTATCTATAGTGATGTTTTCTAGGCTGTTGCTTAATATCTTTGTTTTGTCGAGATTCATTTTTAATCCTATTTGATTCGATTTGTGATTTAAATCTTGTAGCATTGATTTTAGTTCATGGATATTTGTGCTTATTAGTACTATGTCGTCTGCAAAACGCAAATGGTTAAGATATACTCCATCTATTTTTAATCAATTTTCGGCATAATTTAGTTGTTTGAAAACATTTTCTAATGCCAAAGTAAATAACTTGGGTGAGATGGTGTCGCCCTGTCTCACACCTTTTCCAAGGTCTATTTTCATAGTTTCCAGATCATCATCTATTTTTACGTGAAAAGTAACATCATCGTATATATTCTTAAGGAGGGCAGCATATCTTGAATCTACTCTGGCGTCGTCCAATGCTGTTAAGAAAGCCCATTTCTCGATACTGTCGAATGCTTTGTAATAATCGACAAATGCCAGATGTAGTGGTATGTTGTACTCTATTGTTTTTTCAATAACGATCACTAACATATCAAAAAAGAAAACACCATGGTTTAGAGAGGAAGTGAAGACGAAATGTGAAGAAAAGAAGAACTCCTTTTTACAATACAGAACATAACAAACGCAATAGGTATACAACCATTATAAACGAATCAGAAATGAAACGAATTCTCTAGTTAGACAAATAAAAACAGAACACTGACAGAGTTTCTCAAAACAGATGTAACAAGATTTCTACAAAACACAAAAATAAATATGGAGAATGATCAGAGGACAAATAAAAGCGATAAACGAACTAATAAAAACGAAGCACGTTCAGAAGGAAACATGGGTAGACTACTTTCGATCCTTGTTTGCTAAAGGTGATGATGATGAACCATTAACACTAGAGGTGACGACAAACGAAGAAATAAATATTGAGGAGGAAGAGGTAAAGGAAGCATTAAGGAAATTAAAAAATAGAAAATCACAAGGAAAGGACAGAATACCGAACGAACTCGGAGTAAAGCACGAAGGACCAGATCTGACCAAACAACTATTCAAACTAATACAAAACATAATAGAACAAAACAGAATTTCTCAATTTATTATGGATGAAATAATAAAAAAGGAAAAACTAAAAAAGGATACCAAATGGGAGAAAATCAACATAAAAAAGTGAAGATGATTTGAAAAAGACAAAATGCATGGTTACAAGAGCAAATTTACTAAGATTTAAATTGGAGCTGGAAGGTCAGATAATAGAACAAGTGATGGAGTTTAAATATCTAGGCATTATATTATCTAGCTACGAAATGCTCGAATCCGAAGTGGAAGATCAAGTGAATAGTGCAAACAGGGCCGCAGGCTTGGAGTAATGAAAATATCGGGAAAGAAACGAAAGGCAGAATTTACAAAATAGTCATCCGACCAATAACGACATACGCTGCAAAAACAAGATCTGACACAGAGAGTACAAAAAAGATTTTAGAAACAGCAGAGAGAAAAATTGATGGTAAGACACTATGGGACAGAGCTAGAAGTACAAATATAGATGCAAGGTGACATAGATGCAAGGTGAAGAACATCAAAAACTGAGTAAGAAATAGAAGAGTAAAATGGAATGATCATATAAGCCAAATGACAACAAATAGAGTACTAAAGACATCAAGGGATGGTTCCCCAATAGGAAGAAGATCAGTAGGAACACCACGAAGACGATGGATTGACAACTTACTGGAGGCACATTGAAAAACAGACAGATGTCTATGTAAAAATAAGAAGAAGAATAAGACATATATATTGCTATATACATACATAACTATTCTGTACTATTCAGTGATGCACAATGGCATGATATCGTGGAAACTAGTAAAAAACGACGTTAAAATCATAGGTTCTGGTTGTAGAATATTATAAATTTCATGGATACAGAAAATCATCTCAATAACAAGGTATTAAGGTATGTAAAAACAGTCAAATAAGTTGTCATAACTATTCAAAAAGGAAACTTCATTGCTTTAAACATATGAGAGCTGACATACAACAACTACTTCGACTCTTAATCTAAAGAAAAATCAACATCAACAATGACCATACGTTTAGAACCTTGGTCTGAAAGGTACGAAAGCTTTGATAATTATCAATCTTCAGAACGGAGACATTTATGACAATTTATGACAATTTCCAAAACACAACAACAAGACATTTTAAACATAAGAGGAGTTCCAATAGAAAAAGTAAAAAAATGCAGATATCTTGGTACAATTATTAATGAAAAAAACGAGTATACAGAAGAATTAAAAATGAGAATTGGACAAGCTAGAGTAACATTTAATAAGATGGGAAAAGTATTATGCAGTAGATACTTTAGTTTATTGCCTCGAGAACACCTGCTGAATATAAGACAGATAATCGAGAAATCTAGGGAATTCAACATCCCACTATACACTGTTCGACAGGGTCAAGTGGAGACACTTATGGCGAATACTAAAAGAAGAGGGCGTACCACAACATCTAATTACGCTTATAACTGAACTATATGAACGCACTACTGGATCAGTTAAAGTACTTGACACACTGTCGAACGAGTTTCATCCAGAACGGGGTGTCAGACAAGGATGTATACTATCTCCACAATTATTCAACATATATGGGGAGGATATTATGCGAAGAGTACTTGAAGGATGGGAAAAGGGCATCTCAATAAATGGTCATAAACTAAACAACCTACGTTTCGCAGATGACACAGCCCTTCTTGCAAATAGTCAAGCAGAGCTGATGGAACTTACACGACTGATCGAAAACGAAAGTCAAATATTTGGTCTGCAATTAAACATATCAAAGACAAAGATCATGATAGTGGATAGACTACACAACAATCATCCACACATAACCACAATTGACCGGTTCGAGGTTGTGAGCTCATACTTATATCTGGGATCATTAATCACAAACACAGAGTCATTACAAGAAGAGATTAAACCTATATGTGATCTAGCAAAAGTTGCCACAGCAAAAATGACCAAAATATGGAAGGACTGTCAAATTTCAAGAGCGATAAAGATGAGGTTGATCAACTGCTTAATATTCCCAATACTGACCTACGGATGTGAATCTTGGACTCTGAGACAATCGGAGAGAAAAAAGATAAACGCCACTGAAATGTTCTGTTGGAGACGAATGTTACGAATTCCTTGGACCGACCGTAGAACAAATAATTCAATTTTAAGAGAGCTAAAAGTTAACCAACGACTCTCTAGTAAAGTCCATCTCCAACAATTAAAATATTTTGGGCATGTTATGAGAGCAAACACAGAAAACATGGAAAGACTCATAATACAAGGAAAGGTAGAAGGCCGAAGATCACGAGGAAGATCCCCAACAAGATGGATAGATCAAATTACAGGAATATGCCAAAGACCTATGCATGAATTAAAAGAAATGACCAGAGACAGAGATCTCTGGAGACTGACAATACACGACATCACGTCGACCACTACACTCCCCCTTGGAGTCAGGATTGAAGAGAGAGAGAGAGAGACCTTAGTTTATAACTCAAAATAAGAATATTACGTTCTTATGTATTTTCGGTGCTGCTGTATGGGGTGGAAGCCTGGACCTTAAAGAAAGAGGTAAGCGATCGACTTGAAGCATTCGAGATGTGAACCTACCGAAGAATATTAAAAATAAGTTGGGTAGACCGAATAACAAATGTTGAGGTCCTCAGAAAGATGACAAAGGAAATGGAAATCATGAATACGATTAAGATAAGAAAGTTACAGTATCTAGGCCACGTTATGAGAGGAGATAAATATGTGTTGCTACAAACCATAATGCAGGGAAAAATACAGGGAAAACGAAGTATTGGAAGAAGACGCATCTCCTGGCTCAACAATCTGAGAAAGTGGTATAATGGCACTTCCGTCGACTTGTTTAGAGCTGCAATCTCAAAAGTGAAAATAGCTGTGATGATTACCAACCTCCTTAGAGGAGATGGTACCTAAAGAAGAAGAACAGAGACAAGATTTGTCCGGAAAGAAAAAATAAACATTTCAAAAATATTTTGGATAGCCTCTTTCTTCAATAACGTTCCATACATACCATTTGGTAGTTGGCAAAATCTACTGTAAAGACGACAAACTGAAAAAGTGCATCAGTAATAAAAAATGAAGCAAAGTAAATTATAGTAGGAAATGGTAGAAGTTGATAAATACGATAAATACCGAGAAAAGTAATGATCCCAAATTTTATTCAAGGTATTGCGACCAAAATCCTCAATATTTCTAAAAGATATAGAAAGACCTCAAATACGACAAGAAAAGACAAATACAAGTTTAATATTATTAAGTAGGCTCTAATTTAAGCAACTACAATTCTTATAGGACATTAGTATTTAATAGTATTGCTTTTTGTAAACACTTTTAATGTCCTGTGGAATTTTTGTATTGAAAATTTAAAATAGCTGTCTAATTTATAAGTAAATGAAACGTCCGTAAGCTTATCCAAAATTTACACATAGTTGTACCAATACACACGAGGTACCGATTTTGGCGCCATAATCTTTACTAGTAAAAACACTTATTATCAAATAAAATAAAAAATAACCCGAAAGTTCATCGTTCAATAAATAAACAACATCGATGCATATTTACCTCAATCGAATCTTGTCGATACAGCGGAAAATTGTAAAAAATCACAAAAATCACACAGAAAAACTTGCTTCTCATGATTGGAGTAGTGACCGCCTTAGCGGTCTATCAACAAATGTGTTGAATCTATTCCTGTTTACGAATGACCCCTGACATGGTGTCCCCTGTGAAAGATATCGAAACGTTAACATACTTGGATTATTTTATGTCTGTGTGTTGGTTTTTATTATATAAAAACCAATTTCGAAATTTGTTGTGGTTTTCTCATGGTTAATTATTGTGGTTTTTAATTAATTTTATGGTAACTATGTCTTTATCTCAGTAGATTATTTTCTAAAATTATTTATTTATCTAAAATACGACTCAAAAGTATTTTTTTAACATTTAGCAACTACCTTTACAAGTTTAGTTTAAAAATAAAAAAAATTAATGGGAAAATCCTAGTAGTTGGCTGTATACCATAGTTAAAAAACTTATACAGAAGTAAAAAACTTCAAATTTGATGAAGATACAAAGTTTTTGATTTCTATATAAGTTTAGTTTAATTTCTTTAACATTTACAATTCTTGTTTTCTGTTTTATGTGCGAAAATTTATATTGTTTTTATAAAGTTTCTTTAAAAATGTCCACATAATCCTAAAATAAAACTATCTTTATTGAAACTTTTAGTTTTTGATAAAATAGGATAAGATGCAGCTAGTTGACATTTTTTTCAATATCATTTTTATTAAAGACCTTCTATTCTGTGATGCTAAAATTAATTTAATACATTATATTACTCTATATTAACATTGGATAACTCATTTTTAATTAACACACGTATGTTTTAAGAATAATGGTATATTATTTTATGAGGCGGAGAAGCATGACTTTTCTTGACGCGACCGATATTAATATAGAGGGCAAGTCAAGAAAAGTCGCTTCTTTGCCGAATAAAGTATACTATTTTTTCTTCAAACGTAGAAATTTTCCACCATAAATAGTACAATTCATACGCTATTTTTACTCGAAATTAACTGTGACAACTATCAAAGTCGTCTAGATGTTAGAAATTAAAATAATTAAGTCGTCGGTGGGATTTGCGTCTCCTGGTTACAGTTGTTTGACAGTTGTTTGCAATTATTAAAGACAGCTTATTGTTGTTGCAACAGCAAGCCCAAATTTAGCGCGAAAATGGAAAACTTAAACGAAATTGATTCCGCGGCTAATGATGCAGTAGCACGTTTGGGGCCCTCCAAGTCCGGAATAAAGTATCGGTTAGCGTACAAGCACTTCCAAGAGTGGTGCGATACAAGTGGAGTACGACAAGTTACCGAAGACGTTTTACTGGCATATTTTAATATAATGGAAAATGAAAATAAATTGAAATCTTCTACAATGTGGTCACGATACTCTATGATAAAATCGAGTTAGTTATTAGAAAAATGTGGATATAAGCAAATTTTTAAAGTTACGTGCCTTTCTGAAAAAAAAAACAATCGAAGGATATACTGCAAAGAAGTCTAAAGTTTTCACTAAAGACGAGTTTGATAAATTTTTGTTTGAAGCGCCAGATAAGTTGTATTTAGGATTAAAGGTAAAAAAATTATATTGCAAAGCATGTAGTATACTCTACTAAATTATAATAATATTTTAGATTGTTTTGTTAATTGGGGTTACCGGCGCCTGTCGATGCAACGAAATGGTAAAAATGAAGACTGTGGACATTGAGGATAAAAAAAATGTAATAATTATCAAAATCCCAGACAGTAAAACACGACAAATTAGATCTTTTACGATAATTGGTCAAAACTACATTAAACTTTATAAAAAGTATGCATCACTGCGGCCTGAAAATTTCACAGAAAACCGATTTTTTATCAAGTACCAAAATGGAAAGTGTTGCAGAACGCAGGGAATACATTCGATCAGCGCAGTAGCCCAAAAAGTAGCTAGTTATTTAAATTTAAACGATGCAAGCGCATACACGGGTCACTCTTTACGACGAACTTCACAACACTTTTAATTGATGGAGGCGGAAATCTAGAATGCCTCCAAACGACATGGGGGCTGGAAATCAAGCACAATTGCCGAAGAATATATAGAGGATTCAATAAAAAATAAGAACGATAATGCTCAAAAAATTTTAAACCCTCATGATTTGCCACATTGCTGAAAGTTGTTCTCGACCATCAGTATCATCAACAATTACCAATGCGTATCAAAAGTCGGGAACATTTTTGCACGGTTTCAATTTTGAAAATGCCTCATTACCTAATTGTATTTTTAATATTACTATAAATAAAAATGATGGTTAATTGTTGTTAATGACATTTGTATTGTTGCTTTGTGACATGTTTCATATTGTTGCCACGACAACATTTTTTCCCTCCGCCGTAAAGAAATGGGAAAAAAACTGCTGCCGGCGCAGACATCAAACTTTGACAGGATCAAGTTAGGTAAGTAATGTCATCATTATTTGACGTTTGAAGAAAAAAGTTTATAAGCATTTTTTAGAGTACGACAGGTGGCGGTAAACTTAAATAAGTCATTTTATACCGGTTAAAAATCATAATAATAGTAGAATAATATATTTTTCCGATATACTTATATATAGTATACAGTGCTTTTCAGATAAAACTATCCACCTTAAATAACGTTTGAACTTCTAATTTTTTAGGTAAAAACGAAAAAACAAGTCAATTAATATTTGAAGGGGAAGATATTATATCATATTTAAGGTTGCTGGGAAATGCACCCTTTCACCCCCCGTATCATTCCTTTATTTTTTTTTAAATTACTTCCCCCTTTTTTATTTGATATTGGATTGTCCTCTTTGTACTGATTTCAAGAATGTATAATACACGATGCTTGAAGTGATTAGTTTATGAGAAAAATAAATACAAAAGCAAGAAAATTGGATTGAAAAAAAATATTTTTTAACAATTTTATTACACACATTTAGAATGAACATTTCAGCCCAATATCGGCAATTATATCTGTTCACCAAACCGTTTAATGAGAATGAGCATTTATCCGAGAAGCAAATATTGTTTAACAATTGTGGATTGTTAATGATGCATTGTACCATTAATTCGCAAAATTCGGGACGACGATCAAAATCTTCTTCATTTAACTCTTGTACTAATTTAATTTTATATGGATGAAACTTAAATTTATGGAGGACTGGGAAGGCTGTAGAAGATGAAACACCAATTGTATTGTATTGTAATTGTAATTATTGTAACCAAAGATGTAATTGTAACACAATTACACTGCTTGTGTTCTTATTTCCACGCCAGTAGGTGGTCCTTCGAATTGGAAGTAATTAATGGAATTGGAATTAATTGGAAGTAAAGACTTAGCACGCTCTAAATGGTAGCAATATCGCCATCCTAATTTGTTGAACAAATGTCCGTTTAATTCTACCACATAAATCTGATTTATTTTTTGTTGAACAATATGTTGAAGATTTACTTTTCAATGTGATATCAAATTCTGATTTTGATCAAAGACATATAAATGTAAATAAATTTAATATTCTTTTAAAACAAAACAGTATATACAATTTAGATAACATCAATAGAAATAATGACTTATTAGATTTATATTTTGAGGACGATTTCCGAAGTGGAAATTGAAACGTCAATAAACGTACTTTAACCTTTAATTGTGGCTTATTCTCATTTAAATAGTAAGTAGGATTATTAATTATTTTACACATTTATACATTTATCATCTTATTAAATATCCCTGTACAAACACATTCTTCCTATCCTGATCTTGTAGGTTAATTAGATATAAATGTTTTGACTAATATTTACGTAGGTATACATATATATCTTTTCGTTTTTAATTACGAAAGTACTAGGATAATGTCCATATCATCCGTGAGGTCAGATAAGTAATATTCAAATAACTGATATCCAATATATATACTACACAATATTAATCATTCTAATTGATGCCAAGGTTAATTTTAGTGGTAAATCAATCAAGTACTACAAAACAAAAAAACAAACTATTATTATAAATTATTAATATTAATTAAATTTAACTTATAGCGGTACTATTTTATAGAGATTCTAAAGGGGTAGTGATGCGTTTTAAAAAGCCTCTCTTACTCAAATGTCAAAAATATCTACAGTACACAACAATAATCGTTATTATTTATGCCAAGGTTAGTTTTAGACAATTTTGTAAATAATTTAAGTTTAAAAAACCTTAATATCGAAGTAAAAACTTCTGTTGTAATTGTTAAATTTTAATTAAAAATAAAATTAAAAATCCAAAATGGATTATAATAATAATTCAGAACGTTTTCGAAGTTATCAGTCTATCTTGTCCATATTTACGATCAAAAAACGAAAACTGCAATACTTGGGACACATTACAAGAGGCGAAAGATATGAACTGCTTCGAATAATTATGCAAGGGAAAATAGCAGGAAAAAGGTCCATAGGAAGAAGACGAAACTCCTGGCTAAAGAATCTACGGGAATGGTATAGCTGTAGCAACAACGAATTATTTCGGTCAGCAGTTTCGAAAATACGTATAGCCCTGATGATCGCCAACCTTCGGAACGAAGATGGCACTTGAAGAAGAAGACGTCCATCCTGAGTGAAACCTAACAGTGGTTGAGTTTAAATTGCAGACTACATACTTAAAAGTATTAAATTAGATGACATGAGGACAATATAGGATGAATATATCCATGAGGATATAATTTTCCAGGAACAGTATGTCCCTACTCGAAATAAGACTCACCAACTACCAACTGAAGCTTTGTAAGTTACTTATGTTTTCCATAGTTTTTGGCTTTATTATTTCCTATATGTACGATCTTGTCTTGTACTTGGATACAAGCATTGTGTCTACTTATTTTAAAGTCTTTAATGCTATTTTGAAACCTAAATATATAGAAAACCACAACAGAAAGAAAAAATTCCGAGCATTCTATAAGAAATTTAACACCAACAAAAAATAATTCAAAATAACGACAAGACAGTGCAGAAAGATGTATTGAATAGATAGGTAGAATACTATAACTTAATATAGGCACTTAATATAGAGAAAGACAAAAGAGATGAGGTAAGGGGAGCAGACCAAAGGGAAGAGGAACCACCAACGAAGTTAAAGATGCAGTT